AGCCTGTTATCTGTTAGCAGTTGTGGAACAATTGTGTATACATTTAAACTGTGAAAACATGCACAGTTCTGCCTCATGCAGTTGAAATACTTGTTTATATGAGAAGTTACATCACTATTCAACTCTATCCTGATCAGGCCATGTTTAAGAAAAAACAAAATCAAATTGGATTCCAATTATAAAACAAGAAATTTTATTCAAAGCAAAGTTTGACCAATTGGCAGTTCCCCGTTGCCAATAAATTTAATTTATGAGTGGGTCATTTCAAAATACATCTTAGTCAAAATTGAGTCTACTGTGCATTTTTCCAAAAATAAAAGGAGTTATTTTGGCTTTATGGCGGAAAGCTTAGACATAACATGTAATACCCTCAAATGTAAATGTAGATATTATGGAGCTTCATAAAAATTCCAGACTTCTTCCACTGATCTTGCTGGAAATAACCATTCTGATTCCTTTTGTGCTTGGTTTCTTCTTGTATTTTATAATAAGTCAGCACTCAGCATGAACCAAAAACTTCAGTATTAGCCGATCTAACGTAGAACAACAATTCAGACTGCCTCAGTGATTCAGTCTAAAAAACATAGTTAGAATCCCCTCCCATCTGTCTTGCCTATGCAACTGTATTTCACGTCTCTCTCTCGTCTGAAGTGCATACATTGGCTTTATTTGAATCTTACTGAAAAAATACTGAAGCTCTTTTTTGTTCAGTCCCTTTGGGACACACCCAACCCTCATTGCCCTCAGTTTACAGTTAGTATTTAATAAAATACTTTGTACCCAATTTAAAATTCTCTCTATATCCTAAACTAATCCACCCTTCAAGAACGCACAAAAACTAATTTTTGGCAAATTTAGTGTTTTTTATATTTGGGTTCACTCACCCACTTGCAAACTTTTACATAAACCTAACTCATTGATCATGCTAAACATAAAGCCAAATCAACTGCTAAATACACTTTACTTTGTGTAGGAGAGTGCAATTTAGGAAACAGAAGGTATAAAAGCGGCAGTCTACTATACACAACATCTAAATTTAACATCAGTACAGTGTTTATATTATCTGGCATTAAGAATATATTGGAGATGTGCTTTCATTAGTGCAAAGAAACATATTTTTATTTGGCCTTATGAAGTAGATTGTGATAATGGAAGCTTTGTAATATAGTCTGTTTATTTTTTCCCCTTATTTATCTGCCAAAGATGATAATGGATACAAGAATTTTAAATAGGTTTTGTAAGACAGTTAATGATTGTAATAGTGTTTAATCTTCCAGAAAGCTTTATATGTTCTTCCGCAATAAACAGAATCAATATTTGTTTCAGTAAATTCAACTCATGCTAACAGATCCACAAACTATTCCTGCTTAATGCAGTTATTATAATATCTATACATTAAGTTCAAATTAATTTTTCAGTCCAAAGGAAACCAGGGGTATGTGAGACAATGACAATGTCCATTACTGTTTATAACAAACAGTAGATGGTCCAGCTTACTAAGATTTGCCAAGGTACTTGTATTATGAAATTTAAGGTATATTTTATTATGCCATTTTATGTCTTTTTTTTTAACTTTGTGGAGGTGATATGTTGAATTGAGTGTAAGCTGAGTTTTCCAGACAAATAAAGTAGCTACAGAGTGAATGTTATTTTATTATTAAAGGTTTTTACTCAATGATTTGTGCCAATAGATGTCCTTTATCCTAATAACAAATACTGTATAATTTTCAAATTTTTATTTATAGCTATTGATGTAAAAAACCACACCCACATGATTTGCCAAAGTTCAATAAAGGAGGAAAACCCAACATTTTTGCTTCCTTGTGCAATGAAAAGGTCCTTTATTTTCAGGTGCCTTTTATAGTTATTAGAAACCCATCTCGAGTCTGATCCTGCATCACTGAAGTAAATGGGAGCTTTGCTATTGATCTCAATGGACACAGGATCAGACCCTGAAATACCACATTTTGTAGCAGACTATAAAGCAGAGCTGGGCACATTTGGAATACTGCAGAGCCTGATCCTGAGAAATGCAACCTTGTATGCAGGATCAGGCTCCAAGTGAGCAGATGTAGTTGTAAAAATGTCATAGATTTTAACCTAGGACTGTGACAAACTTAGCTAACACCAGAGGTGAATTATAAAGGAATGGGGAAGATCAGGGCATAAAGGAAAAAATCTTAATTATGCTGCAGACTCTCTCTAATGGGCCCCTTTTCCAAACCTCTTTTCCAAGGCCCCAATCCTGCAGTGACTTACATATGTCCTTAACTGTATGTGCTGATTGTCGATCCATTGATCTCAATGGGACTACTCAGAGTCCTTAAAATTAAGCATGTGCACAAGTCATTTCAGGCTCAGGACCTACTATGAAGCTTGAGAATGAGACAGGTTTGCTTGCTGCAAGTTTTATGCATTCTTGTTGGCAATGCAACAAGTCTTGGCCTTTCACTAGTCCATTAAATGGCAGAGGAAAGGACAATAGGCAATTGATGACATTGTTGGCACAGCTGCTGGGGGAGATGAGCAGGACATACACCTTAATTTTTACTCTCCTCACAGGAGTCACAGGATGCAGACCCCTCCATCTTTTTCTATACCTCTGCATCTCTACTGTTGAATACAATTCACACATAAAGGCCCAAATACGTCCCTCTTGTAGTAATTGGACTCCAACCCAAGGATGAATTTTACCCCCAGGTTGTCTTTATAGGGCTTTTGCCATTGCTCAGGGCAAATCACCACACAGAAGTCAGCCAAGGTAGAAGTCATAATTGTCCCTTTATTTTTTTTCCCAACAGTCTCTCTGGTCTTCTGAACCTGACATTCAAACCCTAATTCCCTGGGGTACCTCAGCTAGTATTAATTTGCTATCTAGGCCAACAATGACATACTTCAGTGACAGGCATAAAAAGCAAATCACCGTGTCACCGTATGTGGAAGTTGCACGGTATTGTGTAACTCACTTTATCACAAGAAACTGAAGTAAAGTACACACAAGCTAACCCCCTGAGTCAGCCTTTACTGTGTGAATCCACCACTGTAGCAGTAAGAAGCAGCAGAGGTGCTGCTCTGGCTGAGGTCCCATGTCTTGTTCCCATAAAATGACTTGCCCTTGTTAATGTTGTGCAAGTCTCTGATCATGGATCTTCTCATTCATGATCTTCTCTGATCATGGTTCTTCTGAATCTAGGATATAGATTCAGAAGAACCATGTATCATTATTCTCTCTCTTCCTGCATGGCTCCTGGTTTATTCTAAAAGAAAAAAAATAATTTAAGGATGGGTGTTGGGAAGGTACCACAAATTCAGTTAACCTTCATTTTACTATAGCTATGGAACGTCTTATTCTCCTTGAGTGGCCTCATTCAGAGTTGATAAGATGCAAAATAAATGAACAAGGACATGCATTTAAAAGGTGAAGTTTTCCTTTGTTTATCTCTCTGAGTAAAAAAGGCATTTAAAAATAGCCCTTTCCTTCCTTGGTCTCTGGGAGGAATTGGAAGATACACCCCAGCCATCATTTTCCATTGCTTTTTCTCTGAAGTAAGTTGACCTGTTGTGTACCACAGTTGTTAGTAACCAGGCCTGCTGAACCTGTGCCCAACAGTCTACCACTAGCACAGATGAGACAAAACGCTGGTACCATGCTTCAAGAAAACTTCCTGCAATGGTGCTGAAAGTAGTTTTGTCCCATCCAAACCAGCAGTTACACTGGTTACAGAACAGGTCAATTGTAACGTGTTATTGACAACCATTGTCAGCAAAAGGGTAGTTTGGGCTTTAGAGTCTAGAACATTTTGGGGGGACTAAAGCATTTTAAGTGTGCACTTTGGTGCTAATTCGCTTCATATTCCTCTCTTGAGCTCTTTGACTCAGATGCTGCTCTCATTTAATTTCATTGGGTGTTACTTGTCCGTCCCAAAGCAGAATATCCCTTTTGTGTTTGATTTTAAAGAGCTCAGGATGTCATTTTGAGTCTCCTCTCTCTTTTCCTCATTTGGTCTCGTGGATGCTTTGAGGCTGATGGGGAGAGTAGAAGAATCAAATTCTCTTTTAGGCATCAAATTTCATGCCCACAGATCTGCTGTTCCTTAGGTGCCATAGTTCCGGGCAGGTCTACACTTAAAACACTGCCGTGGCACAGCTGCACCAGCGCTTCAGTGAAGATGCCGCTACTCTGACCGAGGCGGCAGCTCTGGCCTCCTGTTGACGTGGCGCTGTCTACACTGGCGGTTAGGTCGGAACAACTGCGTCGCTCCGGGGTGTGGATTTTTCCCACCCCTGAGCCATGTACTTATACTGATGTCAGTTTATGGGGAAGACCTGACCTCAGAGCAGTCTTCTAGATGTTCCATCTGTGCTTGCCTTCATGGCTCCACATTTTCCTGGCACAGCTGTCCCCTAAACTTGCCTTCTACATGTAACAAAATAAAACAATCCATTTAAAAACAAAGCCAATACCATAGTCATCTTGTTTCAACCATTTCCTTTGGCAGCTCAGCTGGTGTCCAGGCTTTGCAAACCAGCACCACGGGTCTGAGTGCAGACCCATTGTCCACATGCAGCTGTGTGACTAAAAGTCATTCCACTCTGGGAGCGACACAGCAGGGTGGGCCTGGAATGAGAAAACAGAGGGGAGCAAGAGGGACTCTGCAGCTCTGCTTTAAAGCTCTGCATTAATTTCTTATTTTAAGAATGAAAAAAATGGCCATTTATGCACCAGAAACTGAAAAAAAAAATCAAAACATCCATCACTATGGGCCCAGTTCATAACCCATTTAAAGCAACAGTACGTGTCAATGACAACACAGCCAAATTCTATACTGTATAGACCCACACTCTATAGACCCATTAAAGTTAAGTGGAGAATCCAGGCCAATATATATATTTTTAAGCACTTTTTAAAATGACGGCACCTAAATTTCCTAACACTCTGTTTTCCTTGAAAAATGCAAATCAGAGGTGCTACTTTTCAGGCCAGAGCTTGCAGTCCTGACACACGCAAACTGCCGTGGGTTGTGGTTTCTGTATTGTTTGGAGCGGTGGCAACTTGGCTACATGAAAACTGCAGGAGAAAGCTCCATAAAAAGGGGTTAGGCGCCTCTCAACACAGTACAGACACTGGCATGACCATCAATGGGAGCTAACATACATGTGTGTGTGGAAAGGAGTATTCCTCTCAAAGGTTAATAAGTGCTGTTAATTAGCCGTCACACATGCAACTATAAGAACAATGCATTTTCTCACATACATCCTTTCCTTCAGTGTAGGGATACAACAATTCTTTCTGAGCTTTGTTCCAACAGGAATGTTCCTTATTCCGCATCTGTAAGTCATCAAATGAAGAAAAAAAAAAAAGTTTTGCAAAAAGCTGTTACTGGGGTTATATGTTTCAACAACTGCATTGACTAAAACTTGAACATCGTGGTAGTTGTTGACACATTGGGGCACTTTAAACCCTTTGCTAAATTCCCAGTCCTTTCGATAATTTGGTTGAGTTTTGAGAAGCTATTTTCTATTTGCTGTGTTTTCATCATGATGCCATTATTCTCCCATCCTGATGTTTTTGTCTACAACATTGCTTACATTGGATTCTTTATATTTTTATTCCTATCATTAAATGGTAGTGCTGTAAATTCTGCAATTAATGTCAAATAAACGGCTTTAATTCACCTACAATGGATCACAATGCCTTCTTTTCCTTTATACTGAGGTAAATTTAGCCAACACTTTCTTAGAGGACATTTAAGTCACATTTGTGCTACTGAGCCAATAAATAATACTCAAAGGTTCAATGTCTTTGACTAGGAAACAAGACACAGAGATCTCCCAAATGGTAACAGTTCTTAGTGAAACCAATGTTTGTGTCATGCTTCATATGGAAGAAATAATCTAAATGCGCAAGGCCAAAAGAGTACATAGCCAAGTAACAAGCATTGAACAACCCTGTCAATGCCAGCAGTGAAGAACATCATGTAAAGTTGTTTGCTCCTGGTTGCACCAAGTGACGGTAAGGTATGTGGATGTATGGTTTGCATGCATAGAAAACCTTTAAATAGTTATGACCTGATATTCTGAGGAAAGCAAAAGGAAAATTTTGTATGTTGAGTTTAGAAAGGCTTTTGACACAATCCCATATGACATTTTTATAAGCAAGCTAAGGAAAAGTGGTCTAGATGAATTTCCTAAAAGGTGCGTGCACAACTGGTTGAAAGACCATGCTCAAAGAATAGTTACCAATGGTTCCCTGTCAAACTGGAGTTTCACAGGGGTCAGTCTTGGGTCTGGTACCAGTCAATATTTTCATTAATGATTTGGATAATGGAATGAAGAGCCTGTTTATAAAATTTTTGGATGACAACAAGCTGGGAGTGCTTGCAAGCACTTTGGAGGACAGAATTAGAATTTAAAATTACTTTAACAGATTAGAGAATTGGACGGAAACCCACAAGAAATTCAATAAAGCCAAGTGCAAAGTCCTACACTTAGGAAGGAAAAATCAACTGCACAACTGCTAAATGGGGAATAACTGGTAGGTCGTAGTACTGCTGAAAAGGATCACAAACTGAGTATGAGTCAACAATGTGATTCATTTTTTAAAAAGGCTAATATAATTCTGGGGTATATTTAACAGGAGTGCCATAGGTAAGAGAGGGTAGGTAACTGTACTAAGTACTGGTGAGGCCTCAGGTGGAGAATTGTGTCCAGTTCTGGGCACAGGACCATCTCTAGAAGGGTGCGGGGCTCAGGACATAGGCACCGAGTTTCTATCTGCCAGGGGGTGCTCCCCCTGGCTCTGCCCAGGCCCTGCCCCCACTACACCCCTTTCCCCAAGGCTCCACCCCGCCTCTTCCGCACCCAGTTCCACCCCTTCCCCTGAGCGCGCTGCACCCTAGCTCCTCTCCCCTCCCCCACAGCACCTCCTGATGCCGTTAAACAGCTGATTGGAAGCTGGCGCTGGGAGGGAGGGGGAGGTGCTGATTGGCAGAGCCTGCTGGCGGGCATGAGGCACCTGGGGGAGGGGAAGGTTGGTAGGGGGGCTCTTCCTCATCCTCCCTGCCCACCTCCTCATGAAGCACGGGGCCCCGCCAAAGCAATGAGCCCAGGATGGTCACCCTGATTTGCCGTACCCTAGGGACAGCTCTGTCTGGGCACCACACTTTAGGAAAGAGATGACTACATTGGAGGAGAGCAACAAAAAATAATAAAAGGTTTAGAAAACCTGACCTATGAGTAAAGATTAAAAAAAACTGGGCACATTTAGTCTTGAGAAAAGGAGACTGGGGGGAACCTGATAACACTCTTCAAATACGTTAAGGGCTGTTCTAAAGAGTGATGAATTGTTCTCCGTGTTCATTGAAGGTAGGACAAGAAGAAATGGCTTTATACACAGATTGAGGTTGGATGTTAGGAAAAACTTTCGAACTAGAAGGGTCGGTAAGCTCTGAACAGGTTTCCAAGGGACGCTGTGGAATCCCCATCATTGGAGGTTTTTTAAGAACAGGTTGGACAAATGCCTATCAGGGATGATCTCGGTTTACTTGGTCCTGCCTCAGTGCAGGAGGGTGGATTTGATGACCTGTCAAGGTCCCTTCCAACCCTACATTTCTGTGATTCTATGAAAATGCATCTGTATCTCAATTAAACTATGGTTCCATATTCCAACCATAGGGGAATTTTGTTTGTGTACGTGTGCATGCATATGGGCTTGGGGGGGGTCTGTTTGTTTTTTAACAGCTTGCAGAACCAACAGTTGACAATAACAAGGGAATTTGATGTTTTAAGTTTAAAAGGAAAATTTCATGAAATAAGCTGCCAGTATGAGCTAAGGCTACTCATCTTCTTGTGCAGTGTTTGAAATGTGCACATATTTTTGGAATAGACGGAACAGGTAAAAGCAAGATTTTGTCAAAATTCTCTCCATCATGTGGATCATTTCCTTATAGTGGAATCTAATAGCATTTGTGAATGCAAGAGATTAGTACAGGCTTCAAAGTTCATGTTTTGGTTCATCCATTATAAAGATACAGTCACTCAGATACTATGATGAGGGGCAACATAAGATAAAGCTAAGATATTCCCCTCTGGGTTTGGTTTCTGAAACCATCCCCACCGCAATGCATAAGAGTTTTGATTCTGGTCCATGTCTAGTGACAAGGTGTTAGCAAAGCCCTACAACTGAAGAACCTCCATCAGTAAAATGTATGGTATAGGAGAGAAAAGTGGGTTCCCACAGCAATAATAATCAGAACAACTGGAAGGAGAGTTGACAACTGGTGAGGGTAAAAAGTGCTTTGCCAGCAAAAAATAGAATAAAATAGATTACACTGAGACAAATGCAGTCTATGGTGGGTCATTTCCATTTCTCTCGCAAGTTCATTCCCCTGGGAAAGCATTTTGCAGGCACTTAACAGTGGCCACATCTGGAATAAGGTGACCGCACCATTTCATTAAGCTGACAAAAAGCTGAGAGATGACCTGAGTGCCTGGCAGGTTTTAAGTCAGCTCTGCAATGGCATGTCACATGTGGCAATCAGGTTGACTTCAGTCAGTGAGATATTTATATGCACAGATGCTTTGAGTGGAAAGGATTCATTGGGTCAGATTCTGCTCTGAGTTATACCAGTGTATGTCTGGAGTAACTCTATTAACTTTCATCACTGGCTTCAATGGGAATAGGATTGCAGCCATATAATTGGGGGGGGGGGGGGAGGTTGGGGGTTAACCACTTAAAACATTGGGAATCACAGTTAAATCCCTGCATCCTACTTTGAAAATTCTGCCCTCTATTTGCCCATTGATTTGTAAATGTGCTTGTATTTTTGAGCATTTACCAGCAGAGTTGCATGCTCTGCCTGGGAAAAATGTAGAGCTGTCATTTCTGACAATTGATTTCAATAGGAACCGCACCTGTGCTACTGGGGTAAAATGTAGCTCTGAGTGATCAATCTTACTGTGTCTTGTCTTTATAGCAGGGTACTAACATACATTCTTTCCTGCAATAACACTTTGCACTTATATAAGGCCTTCCATCTATAGACCTCAAAGATGTTCATGAAAGTGGATAAACACCATCATCCCCCTTTTACCGATGGAGAACTGAGCCATGGGAAGTTTTAACAATCTGCCTCAGGTTGTTCAGTCAGTCAATGGCAGTGCTAGAAATAGAACCCAGACCTCTGGACTTTCACTCTCTTGTCCAGGCTACCTTGAGACTCTGATGTCTTTATTTCTGCAGTGCCTTCTCAACATTACAAACACGAGAAAACAGCCGTTATTCTTTGCACGCTAAGTATATGGTATTTGGCAGCATGGAGAGATTGGCGAGGAAATCTTTCCGAAACATTTGTAGGCGTTGTTGTATCTCTTGTTATGATGAACCACTTAGTGGAAAGATTTGGGATCTAGTTACTCTCCCTTCAATGATTATAACTCTCACCTCAGGCCAGCAGGGCAGAGCAGTGAGGGTCCTCTGTGTCCTGGCATTATGGGTTTGTCTGCTTCAAGTTAACTGAAAAAGTAAAAGTACAAACAAACCCCAGAGGAGGATCTCTCAAACCTCTCCTGCCCTTCCCTTTACCCACCCACCCAACACACACCTTACATGCCACAGAGTTCCCCCCGAGAGGTTGGAGCAAGGACCAGAATTTGGCCCTAAAAATGTTTAACATGCATATTGTATTCTTACTCCATGTTATGAGACCAGTCCTGCCCCACTGAAGACAATGGGATTTTTGCTATCAACTTCAGTGAGAGCATCTTATAAATGTAAGAAGGGAGATGAGATGATACTCACCATAGCTACTTCACAGAGGTGCTGGAAGAGTTGTATGAACTGCTTTGAGATCCTTTGCCCGAAGGCACTACACAAGCGCTAAGCTTTAGTATTATTATTTCATGTTACTCTATGTTGCTTTCTACAGACATTCGATTACAAGATTTTCAGTCTTGGAGTAATCCCATTGTCTTCAGTGCAGTCACACCAACATACGCCTGGCCCTATGACAATCTCCCCCCCGCCGCTTCCTCCCCCACACACAGATAGAAGCAAAGCAATTTAAACTCCTGTACTGGCTATCATACCTTTCAAATTCTAAATCTTCTTTAAAATCTAGGTGTAAATTGTCAGCAGAGGGATTTAGAGGTACAACTTTAATTAGTGGCATTGGGAGTCACGTGGTGAAAATCCACCTACTCATGACACTGAAAATACCTCTCCTTCCCCTCCTGTACTCGCAAAATGTTAATAAAAAACCTCACAAAACAAAATCACTTTTCTGTCACATTGTTCTTTCTATCCGTTTGAGGTCATGCCATTTATACTCAATTTCCATTCAGTGCTAGCAGGATTAACTTCCCCCATGTGCCAACAGTTTATTCCTATAGCCTTGCCCTCATCTCTCTACTTCTTGACCCTACTAGGTCTCATACGATTATTCCAAGTTAAACCATGTTACAAATCCCAGTTTTGTCCCTGGAGCCAAAAAAATACTCACAGAGAACGATTTGGCATCTCTTGGTTGGCTGCAATTCGGAAGCTCTAGGGAAAGCGGCAGCTCTTGCTTTGTGAAATGTTCACAGCTGATAAAACATGTTATTATTTGATATTACAGCAGGGTAGAGTCGCCAACCAAGCTCAGAGTCCCATTGTGCTACTACGTACTTGTGCGTACACATAAAGACAGTCCCTGCCCTGAAAGCTTGTCTTCCTAAATTCATAAAATTTCATGCTGAGACTATGGAAGTCTGCAATTTTCTGTCGCACTCATCTTGAAGGGAATTAAATCAATGGGAAGAAATGTAAAATAATGCAGGTGGGTGGGTAATGCTGCAGTGGTGTATAACACAAACTGCGGCACCATTTTTGTATGTAGGTTACAGAACTCTGCACACCTACAATTTTGTGACTGATACTAACTCTCCTTTTATTGCCTCTCTGCTTTGGGTTTATACACACCTGCCTTCCAGGTAAACCAGACACCTATATGGCCTGATTTCTAGAACTGCTGGGCACCCACAACTTCCACTGAGGTCAATGGGAACTGCAAATGCTCGGCACCTTCGAAAATCAGGCCAGTAGTGGCATTACTTTCCGTGCATCTTCCCTCTGGATTACAAGGTGGACAGATAAAACGGCCGATGTAGGAGAGAAGGCCGTCATGTTGAGATGCACGTGGATAGGTAATATAGGAGGGGACACGATTTTACATTAGTGTAACACCTGAAGTGGTGTGTTAGAGAAAACTTGATTCACGTATCTTCTTGATATACTTGATCCTGCCTGAGTGTGGGAAGGGGGCCGACCAATGCCTCTTGGGCCCTTCCGCCCTAGGGTTGGGTTTTTTTTTATAAACATAAAAAAAAATTTTTTTTTTTTTTTGTTTTGTTGGGGGGTTTTTTTTAGGGGAGCTGTTGTTTTTAAAACATGTACATCTCCATGGTTGTGGAGAAAATGTGACCAAGTATACCTAAAGCTTAAAAAACAGAAAATAAATTAAAAGGAAAAAAAAATGTAGGGAGGGGGGAATGTCGGGTTTTTGTTTTGTTCTGAAATCTCGTGATTTTTAAGCAAATCTCATCATCTGGGAAAGCCTGACTCATGGTTTATGAATGCTTGAAGTTGGCAGTACTGTGCTACACATGCCTTACTTCTGATTGGCTCTACAAAAGCACATGGTGTGAGATCCTCATCCCGGCTTCAGCCTCTTTACACTGTGTAAAAGAACCAGAGCAGCATAAAGCGGCCCTGAAAGTCCCATGTCCAGCTACAAGGATTCCTTGGGGCAGACAGTGAGGAAGGTAGACATAAAGCTGCCTCCCAAGGACCCCCTCACAAGCTGTGGCCTAGGGGACATGCCTGGAGTGGGGACAAAGCACATAGCACTGAGGAGATGCCAGGAAGTCCACAGAGTAATTTAGGGAGACAGCTCGTCATAATTTACAGAATCTCACCCTTGGGCCTTTAATTGTTTAGTCAGTGTGTCAGGGTTCCCTCCCCACTCTGAACTCTAGGGTATAGATGTGGGGACCTGCATGAAAGACCCCCTAAGCTTATTCTTCCCAGCTTAGGTTAAAAACTTCCCCAAGGCACAAATCGCTATTTGTCCTTGGACTGAGGTATGCTGCCACCACCAAGTGATTTAGACAAAGAATCAGGGAAAGGACCACTTGGGAGTTCCTACTCCCACAAAATATCCCCCCAAGCCTGGGGAAGCTTGAAAAATAAACAAGGTGAACACAAACCAGACCCTTGGGTTTGTAGGACACTAAAAACCCAATCAGATTCTTAAAAAGCAGAACTTTATTATAAAGGGGGAAAAAAATAAAAGAAGCATCTCTGTAAAATCAGGATGGAAGGTAATTTTACAGGACAATCAGATTCAAAACACAGAGAATTTCCCCCTAGGCAAAACTTAAAAGTTACCAAAAAACCAGGGATAAGTCTCCCTCTAGCACAGGGAAAATTCACAAGCTAAAACAAAAGATAAACTAACTCATTTTCTTGCTTTACTTACAATTTTTGTAATCTAGATGCTTAGTTCAAGCAGGGCTTGGGAGATGTATTTTTCCTGTCCTGATTCCCTGCTGACCCGAAGAGAACCAACAAAGAGAACAAAGCAAAAACCTTCCCCCACAGATCTGAAAGTATCTTTTCCCCTTATTGGTCCTTTTGGTTAGGTGCCAACCAAGTTACCTGAGCTTCTTAACCCTTTACAGGTAAGGACGGATTTTATGATACCCTTAGCTGTATGTTTATGACACAGTGGAAGAGGGAAGAAGTCCTTGGTGCTTTTCTTTAGCCTCATTTTTGGCTCTCTTTCACATTGGTGTTCACAGGCATACCACAGCAGACAATACTTTGCATTTCCATAGCACATTTCACATAAGGATTTTAAAGTGGGTAAAGTAGTCTCTTCCCTATTTACACATTGGGAAACTGAGGCACAGACTGGCTAAGGATTGAAGTTCAATGAACCATAAGGAGGTCACAAGCTCTGCAATTTGATTTCAATGGAATCTTGAGGCCTAAATACCTTTGGGGATCCAGGCCTAAATGACTTGCCTAAAGTCACACAGCCTAAAACAAGTTTGTGGCAGACACAGCCTCCTTCCAGACCCTCACTCTAGACAACTACTGTTTCCTGAATGTCTAGATGTAGAAAGATCTGCTCTAGGTTTGCTGCTACTCATGCCCAGTTGTGCAAATAGCCTTAGACAATGTCATATTTCAAGACACAACCCCACAGATGACAACATTTTGAGGATTTTGCCGCTATCCGTGATAACTAGTCTGTCTCATGGACCATCAGCAGGACTACTTACTTTTTTATTTAAAACAAAACAAAAACAACTTCCTTTGCTTTGGAAGCCTGAACAATACGCACCAACATTCCTCAAAAATCACAATAGTTAACTCCCTAGGCCTTCGATTTAGCCCCTGAAATATGTTTTGTAGATCCCGCACTGAGCTAGCCATCACAATTGCTTTTGAGCATTTCCCTTGAAATGTTGTTCTTTTAAAAGTTTTGGCCTTTGACTGTATCTTTTCTGGACAGGCCTCAGATCAGGCTCGCTCTTCTGTGTGTTACACGGGCTGCAAATTATTTAGTTCTTTTTACATCTAAAGTGCCACTTTTCCTGCTTCCAGAAGTTCATTGTGTGGTAGAGAATAGAAATAAGAGCCAGCTGACTTAGTTTTGTTTAACACGTCAGTGCTGGTTTACTCAAGCTGACAGCTGCCTGCTATATAACAAGCACCTAGATACTCTGATATTTTCTAGACTCTGCAGAGAATAGATCTGAAGCATCAGACTCGCCACAGTTCTCTTTGATTGGAAATGCTGCCTGTTGTTGTCATGTAGAATGGTTGGTTGCTCGGGTGGGTGCATGGATGGGTGCTGTATTTTCCGTGCTGCATTTCAGGAGGTGATTTTTGCTGGGCAGTTCACCAATGATAATGGCTATATTGGGGAGCGGCAGGTCTGGACCTTAGATTTATAGAATAGGCATGCATAATTCCTAAGGTGAACTTTCAGAATCATTACCCTCTCAAAATGTCTCTCTTTGATCTTTTCTTATTTCCTTATGGCACAGTTCACATCTGACCCCAGTGTTTCCACTTAATCATCCAGTGTTTTTTCTTAGGAGTCCAAGACCACGTAGTTTCCTTGTGTGAATCAGCTAGGGATTTTCCCACTCAGAAAAATACCAATGGGCTTTTTTTCCAATGTAGTGAAATATCTGAGCTTGGGCAAAGCCAGTTTTATAGATATTTATTGGTGAGAAATGTTATTAGATCTGAGCTAAGTTCCTATTTCTCTGGTGTCTCCTAAAGCCCCTTGGTGAATTATTAAGGATACTGCTACCATAAATAAGATGGTTAGTAGGGCACAGCACATGCCATTATTCTTTCAGTTAGTTGCAAAACTGACATTTGTGCAAAAATCTTCATGGGAACAGGATTTGTGACCTGCGATCTCCTTAGCAGGCTGGAGAGATCTCCTTAGTTTAGCAGAAACTATCCTGATTTCATCTAAACATTATTTGGTCCAATTTACGCATATATAGGGGTTGTATTATTATCCTCTTCTAGCACAGGTTCTCAAACAATAGGATGGGGTTGGAGAGAACTCAAGACATTTCAAAAGAGAGGGGGAAACCTGGATACTCGTGAACAGTGGGCTTTTGAAAATCCCTTGGCTGGGCTATCATGCATGCCAGATATCCTATGCAGCCAGACAGCTGACCTGATTATCAGACATGCATGAACAGCTTTGAAAATTCCCCTGCTTTTGGAGGATGTGAAATTGGCCACAGAAAAACAGGTTCACCCAGATGAGACCCTTTGAACACATGACTGTGTTCCAACATACTCGATGGGATATATGTTGTCAAAATCTCCTCCTCATTCACCAAAGCCTGAAATAGCAGACTATTTGGTTTGCACTCAGTGTAATCTATGGAACTTAATAAACTAAAATGTTCAGTCTGTCACATTAAATAAACCTTTAAGTACATACTTATTTACTTCTGTTTCTCTCTGTTCCCAAAGACTGAAGCTCCATGCAGTACCCCGTGATTCTATTAGGAGGGACTTTATAAAACTGTATTGCAATTTAAGACATGGAGATACTTTAATATTACTATGACATGGATCGTTTTTGGTTGCAGATCAAATTATTTGGAAAGGATCACCTCATAGATTATATCAATAGGCAGACTTTCTTCAATACTTTTACTGTACCCAAATCAGTGGAAGAGAAGGAAAATTGGAAAAATGCAATATTCACCCTGAAAACAGGATACTCTTTTGCCTTCTGTCAGCAGGACATGAGGTGAGATGTACATGTACAAAAGAGAATCAAGAATGTATAAACAGATTCAGGCAGAAACACAAAGAATGAAAATTCTTAAACATCAGACGTGAGTCTCTTTCTGAGAGATTTGTCCCTATAGGGAGTTTCACAGGAACCAGGATTTGGCCTGGAGTGAGAACCTGTCACTGATACCACTGGCACTTCCATGGCAGATGACTCATGCAGACGTTTCGACATAATAGCCAACAGGGACAATGCTTACATAAGGAAGGGCAAACTGTTTACCATCCCATGCACAAACTTGCTTCCCTTAATTCACCTATTTGTTTAACAAAGAAACTCAGTGGCCGAGATGAGGAACATGCCACTCTCTGAGTATGAGCCCCAGTCTGTTTACCTTGTACTATCTCTGGATATGAACACTCAACAGGATTATGTGCCCCTCCTATGTCTTCTTGGTAGAAACGCCTTTCAACAGCCTAATGCAGACTTCAAAAGCCTCCAGGATGTATTTCACTGGGCACTGATATTGATTCCCCCGTCCTCACATGTGAAGACCCCATGGATCACATTTTGAGGTAGTCACGTGCAGTTTACACACACGACACTCACCCAGCCTATCTGTGGGTACACATACCCCATTGTACGTTTGTGAATCACCACATATTTGTTCCTATAGATTGGGCATATATAAATGTGCCAGTTGTGTATTGTAACTTGGAAAATCTGGCCTTTGTGTGTCCTTGGGTTCATTGCCTAAGGATGGGTAACAGCACTAATGGCACAGGATGGTAGGACACCAGAGATGGCAGCGTCTGGCTATTGTTGTAGCTTTGTTTCAAGTCACTGGCACATGCAGACACCCACACACCCTGCCATACATAAAAGCCAGAGGAAAATAAGATTATCGCTGCTTATTATAGGGCAGGCGCATCTGAAAAGTGCCCTTCAGATTCTGTACATATAA